TTACTTACAAATAAAATTAATGTCATATGAATAATGCACAAGTTATGATATTACAATACCAGATTCAGTCTTTTATGTTTCCAAAGTACACACAACGCATCGTAAAATGTCTTGTTGCTAGAAATTGAAATGTTAAACATGAAATGAGAAATAAAGAAAGAGATCCACTATGTGTAATGCACAATTTATTGTATTAGAATAAAATTCACAAGTATGCACAACGCGTGGCAGAAAATCTTGTTGTAATAAATTTAAATGTTAATAAATAAAGTGGGAAAATGTACAGAGATCCACTATTGGTAACGCACAATTTATTGTATTTCAATATCAGTTTCAGTCCTTTAAGTTTATAAAAGTACGCACAATGCATGTCAGAAAGTCTTGTTCCAAGAAACCAAATGTCACAAATCCAAACTGACAGTTACAGGTTAGAAATGAACGAGCGGCATGAGTGACAGCCATATTACAATTCCGATCGACGAGCCTTGCCGACTGATTCCGAGAGTCGACGAATCGACGAATGGCCTAAGCTCCTATTGGCTAAGTGTTGACGAAAAGAATAAGAATCAGAATCAGAAGAAAAATCTATAATTTCTGACCGATTCATGACATGATATTACGATATGTCGGTTGTACATAGACCGATTTTATTGATTTTGGTTTTATTAGGAAGCTTATATGCGATTTACATTAGAAAAATGCCTTTAGATTTAGAAAATACAGCAGGCGTGACGAGATATTTATGACAGAAGTTTTGGGTTAGGTTGGAATCGCGTTTTCTCGAGTATAAGATACGCGGTAGCGCCAGTGCCAGGCATATACGGGGAGGCTATTTTTTCATGTACTTGGCGTCAAGACGCTACCGCGTCTTTAGAAAAAGTAATGGGTGACTGTAATCCCCGTTGAGAATCTTCTGTCTTACAAAAGCGAGTTGAAATAGTTTTCAGAGTATCTCGTTATAGCATCGAACGAAAACACTTTATCGGAGTCTGAATCGTTTCGAGTTGTATAATTAAGTTTCTCACTGTTAATTGATTTAAATCACACGGAAGTGAACCACTTTATCTGTGATTTCTCGCACGTAGTCTTTTATGCGACGCAATTCTTATCTCGTATCTACGCACGCGTGGCTGCAGGTGATCAAATATACACATTTGTATGGAGTAAGGCAAACATTAGGTTAATTACTTTATACACCATACAATTTTACAAACCTTTCGTCCTTTTCCTTTCATTTAATTATTTTACGTAAACAATACTTCTTATATGCTTCTTAGGTTTAAGTTGGCATAAGTTTTTTATATACATATACATATACGTATTTCATTACACTTTGTTGTAATAATTAAAAACTATCAAAATCTCAGCGAACATTACACATTTTAATATTTTGTCTCATATTTTGGACTTGTAGACTATTTAAGATGGGTGTGTCCACACTTGTCTAACCAACAATAAGTGTACATGTTTTTATTCATTTTTATTTTTTATATTTCGGTAAAAATTTTTTTTGAATTCTGTTGATACAATACGTAAGACCAATATTGAAATAGAAATAAGAAAATACCTTGATTGTCATTATTAGAGAAGATTAGATCAATTTTAATTTTTGACACACAATAGCCTCCTATTTTATTTTTGTGAAATATAAAGATATGTGGAAGAACAGTTTATGTATAATAGTTCTGAGCTATGGATGATAATAGTGATGATCTGAACAAAATTTTGTAAAAATAATCGTGTTACAATTAAGTAATATATCTTATTGCTAATGTCTATTAGTGACTTATTATAATAAATAAATTTACCACATATTGAATGTACGCCACACATTCGACAAACTGTACTTTTATCCACATTACTGTATATTTATCAAGGAAACCACACATGTCTTAAAATCTCGTTAAAGAAATGATCCTGGACAATATTATGTTCTGTCATTATAACTGTCCTTCTAAACAGTGTAACTTTCTCCTGATAATTGGTTTCATATGTCTATAAATAAAGGAAATATTTAGAATGGACGAAGTTATTGCCCCACTTTTTATAACATAATCATCTTCTTTTTAAGATTGTTTCCTTAAAGAAGGTGGTTGGTTCCTTGAAATATGATTACAATTATGATATTATTATATACAATATGATTAAAATTCTAGGATTTTTTTGGAATCCCCTGAGTAAGTATAGAAGGGCACTCTTTAACTTTTGAGGGGCAGTGTACGTACAATATAAATGGGTGTTACACGTATTAATTAGTGTTATAAGTGCTATCACCCTTGACACGTCATGAAAAGGTTGGCGACGAACGTTCACGTCCGCCAATGATTATGGTAAATACGTACCGATCGATACGACCTCAGCTTGACGAACGTTTCCGGAATGATCGGGCGTAACGGCGGTAATTTTTCTATGGATCATAATCGCAATCAGCGATCGGTTGTGTTAACAGCCATGGGCTTGAGGCGATCGGTTGCGTTATGTACACACTACGTGACTAACCAGTGTTACTTTATTTTTAAGAAGGGAACATTGTATACCAGGTAGCCCCACTCGTTAAGATTTTACATTGAAAGGTTTTCAGTTTAATTAGATCGAGATCTGGGATCGGATAATGCTCGGATTATTACGAGAACAAATTTTTATTTGAGATGCACTTTGGCAGATTTATCGACTGATCTGCGTTGCTATGAAAGCGCACATTCGCAGTTCTATCGACAAATAGTACGCCAGGATCTGTTGATGTCATTCGGTACGTATTCCAGGTGCGTGAGTAGATCAAAATCGGAGTTAGGCAAAGTTTATTCGGAATAAAGAATACAAATTCTATTATGATTAACAAATGGCGTTTAAAATGCATGTAATAGAACTATAGGTCGTTCATTTATTAGACAGACAGAGAATAGATAAAATCAGAATTGGGAAATTTTGTTGTCGGATAAGGAATAGAAATAGGTGATGTTTATAGTGCCTTTAATAGAAATTCAGCACGTCATTCATTAGACAGACATTGGATATGGAAAACCAGAGTTGGTCAGAGTTTATTTTGAATACGAACTAAAAATTCTATTATGATTAACAGATGTCGTTTATAGAGCATGTAATAGAACTGTACGTCAGTCACTTATTAGACTGACAGGGAAAAGCTAAAATCAGAGTTGGGAAAATGTTATTCTTAAAAATAAAATAATAATTCCATGATAGTAAATAGATAGCGTTTATAGTGTCTATACTAAAATTTCAATCGTCTAAAGATACGGTAGCGTCTCGAGGCCAAGTACATGAAACATTATCCGTCACCGCGTATTTATGGCGTTGAAGCTACTGCGTATCATTTACAGGAGAGATGGTCCATTCCAACCTAACCTGAAACTTCTTTCATGAATATCTCAACACGCCTGTAATATTTTCTAAATTTAAAAGCATTTTTCTGATGTAAACCACGTATAAGCTTTCGAATAAAACCAAAATCAATAAAATTGGTCCACGATCAATTGAGATATAGTAATAACATGTCATGAATCTGTCAGAAACGATATTTTTCGTATAATTTTCCCGTCGTCAACCCTTAGTCAATAGGAGCTAAGCAAAAGCCGGGTGTCGTTCGTCGACTCTCGGAATCATTCGGTTCGGCATGGCTCCGGCGGCGTTCGAGCGTCGAGAGTCCAAACAGATCTCATCATTCATAACCTGCCAAATGTCAAAAGTTTTTACACTATTGCATTATTAATTATATTTACATTAGCAAAATGTTTTCAATTTAGACTTTTTATGTAGGGTTTAATAACAAATTGCAGCCAGTGTTGTAAAGTGTTGATCGATCTTGATTACAAGGTAAGTTGTACAAATCTGAATTGTCAGGTACCTTACAGAATAGATCCATACCACTAGTGTTTTTAATATAGACTTTTTATGTAGAGCTTATAGAAATGGAGTCATTTTCTCATTTCATCATTACCATTAAAATTTCTTGCAGCAAGAAAAAAAATTGCATATAATTATTTATAAACTGAACGAATAAGTGTTTATAATTAAAAAATTACATGAAATATATAAAGTCCTTCTTGTTATTTCCTCTCCCTTTATTTTACTCTATTCAATTAAAGAAACAAGTAATAATTTAGACTTCTTATGTAGAGTTTACAGAAATATCAATTTTATTTTTATAAATTTAAAATAGATTCTATATAATAAATTATTTGTAAAAAGAAGTGAGATCCGATAAAAGACTTCAAAAAAGTAAAAAAATTACACCAAGTACATGAAAAAGTGGAGGACTCAAGGAGTTATTGAAAAATAGAAGATCCCCATAAAAAACTACAAGAAAATAGAAAAAGATGTGAAATCGGAAAAAGTTGCCAGATGATTTGCCTAGATTTCCGCGGCCTGGAAGTCAAATGCTTTGCGTGGCCAGGCAAGGCCAAGGTGTCGATGAATAAGAATTATTTTAAAATGCAAAATAATAAAAGTGTACTCACATTGTCAGAGTTTTAAATTGACAAATTATCTGAAAGTCTGTGAGAGAGAAAGTATGGGTATTGATGATCTAAGAATCCCTTGCCTGGCCACGCCAAGCATTTGAACTCCAGGCCGCGGAAATCTAGGCAAATCATCTGGCAGCTTTTTCCGATTTCACATCTTTTTCTATTTTTTTGTAGTTTTTTATGTGGATTTTCTATTTTTCTATGATAACTCCTTGAGTCCTCCACTTTTTCATGTACTTGGCGTAATTTTTTTACTTTTTTGAAGTTATTATTTATTCGACTAACAATTGACATCTGAAAACAGAATTGTGTAAATTTTATTCTGAATAATGAATGAAAAAAATTACATTTATAATGTCTAATAAAACTTCTAAATCGGTTATTCATCATACAGGCATTAGATACCTAAAATTAGACATCGATCAATTTTATCCCAAATAATGAATAAACTAGATAGTGTTTTTTATTGTCTATAGTAGAAATTAAGCTCGTGTATTAATTACTTAGATATTGTATAACAATAAAAGCAAGAGTGTTGTGCTTATCTGTCTTTTGTAGTGTGTTCTGAAGGACGGTAGTTAAAGAACCTCGTTGTTCGCGACTTTTTCTCATCGATGCTGTGGTTGCACGCTTCAATGATGTTTCCTGTTCCGGTTTGCTATAAAACATTAACCTGCCAGTCGTTTGTCGACAGTTTGTAGACACTGTCGTTAATTCGTTTTAGCATAGACACTAATGCCCGCGAACGTGGCCTTCTTGCAAGCCTGTTGGCATCGTTTTCGTTGAAATGAAGCATGAAGACTTCGTGATTGATGGCGTTAAGGTTCCTGTTAAAAATGCAACAATGCTTGTTTTATCGATCGTGCCAATTTATCGCCGTTTTATATAAAACGAATCGGCGAGCAGTGTGATCTTTTAGGAATTTAACGTGACAAAAATATATTCGACACACAGGCTACTAGTTTTTGTTCATTGTACGTGTTTTTTAAAGGAACTTCTTTTCTCTTTGTTAAACTTCTCAAATAGAGCAAGCATGAAATAAATGTACCTCTTTCTTGGCTTTAGTGTAATAGCAGAAATGCGTTTCGTTAAAGAATAATCTGCGTCTCGGCCTTGGTTCTAGGTCCTCTTAAAGGAAACAATTTTAAGGGGACAATGACAATATTATACAGAGTAGAGCAATTACTCACCTTGAATATTTCTTGTATTCGTAGTCCTATGATGAAACTTATCAAGACAAAGGTGTACTATTTTGAGAGACACTTATAATGGTAATTATAATATATTTATAATTATATTGGTAATGTAGTAATAACTTTGTTCATCTTGAATATCTCGATATATGTTGTTCTGCGAAAAAAAATGTTAGGACAAAGTTGCACTGTTTAGATGTGTACTTACAATGACGGAATATAATTTTGTCCAGGATCGTTTTTTTTATGAGATTTTAAGGCCATCATTGCCTTTTTTTTTAAATGGAACTATATATTTTTAAACCTCCATGAATAAGCAGCTGTTAAAATGATTTCAGAATGGCACTATATTAAATTATAAACATATACATACAGTTTATAAAATTAGAGTTTATAAAATAAAAAAAATTCTTTCTTGAATCTCTAACCTTTTACACTTTCCTTTGTCCGTCACTGTAATAGCTATTACAAAATTGGTTTCATTCTTTCAATTTTCAACTGCTATGCTGTGCTATCTTCAACACTATAATGCGTACGAACATCGATAATGTAGGTTATCGGTGATTGTCAGCGACATTATCGTTTAGTAGCAAGTGGAACCGTGCTAGAATTGACAAGTAAGGATAGGCAGTATGCGAGGCATGACAAAGTTCCATGCTGTTCGTACGGTGTACCCGCATATCGGAATTGTGATATAACGAGACACGCGTGCTACGTGTGCTTGGCGACCTTGCGTGGATCTCGAGTGAAACCTAAGACAGTGAGAGATGCAAATTGATCGTTAATTATTGTAATTATTTAGAATGTATGTAATCGTCGAGCGCTACGACCTAGTCAACCTGACGCGGCCGAGTACCAGTTGAAATGTTTTGTCACCGGCAACATCCCGTACTAAACGGCTTACAATTTGTACGTTTGGGTCTAGACCAGGGTGATTGGTTTAACAGGTGATTCACTATGTCGATGCTGGTATCAATGTCATGATAGTAACCCCCTATGATCGTGCGTACCTTTGTATTTAAATACCCATTATGACCTGTGGAAATGATGACATTCATTTTCTGGACCAAATTCGACTTTGAACATGTACAAAAATATAAGAGCTACGTAAATTTCTTCTAACTTGTGAAAATAATTATTGTAATGTTTATATATTTTTATACCCTTTTTTTATACTCTTTCTATATAAAATTGTCTCGTTGTAGATATAAAGTGAAAAAAAATAAGCAATGTTGAAAAGAATTTAAATAGTTCGTTACTTTTGTTCGTAATTATTTCCATTACATGGAGAAATTTAGCTTTTTCGTTAAGTTCATTGTTCGTTAAAGAGAATACTTTTCATTTTTTATTTAGTATTATCATTACTGTATTATTCTGATTTTATAACAAATGAAATAGTGTATCTGTTCTCTCAATTGCACTATAAATAAATACCAAATTAATCATTATTAAAATAGATCACTTACCCTCATAAAGTAAAAAAAAAAACAAATTACATACAATCTATTTATCTAAAAATTAATTGTTTGACATAGTCTATTTTCTCTGACGTCATTTGAAAGGACTTTTCGTCTGAAAGGATTGTTGAAGAATCCCGCAGCGGTATACACAACTGCAAAGATCTTTCTATCCAGATGTTAACTTTTACCTTCGCCTCGAGCAAGAAAAGGCGTTGTATTATGGCGAATAACAAAATACGTAGTCGCATAACGTAGCGTGCAAACGTCGCAAATCTGTCACATTGTGACACGGATGAATTTCTGAAAAAAGCGTATAATCGATTCTGCGAAATGCGATTATCTGTCAACAGAAATTTAAAATGGTCGACGGACAATGTTATTTAGAAGACATTATTCAAGAGGAGAATTCTGTCCATATAATTGTTGCTTCCTCGCGGTTCCAAGACATTCATCATTAAAATTTATCATAAAAAACGATGCACAGAGCGGCTGACTAAGGGTACGATCTACAGTCAATTCCATAAATACAGGGTGTCCCAAAAATGTTGTAACACATTGAAAAGGGTGGTTCGGGAGGTGATTTGAAACAACTTTTTCCTTAGCGAAAATGTTGTCCGAGGCTTCGTTGAGGAGACATTAATGGAAAACACTGACCAATCAGAGCGCGTGTATACCGTTGGAGCGGCCATGGTAGCGAAGGCTACGAGCTAAGCAGCCGCGTCCAATGTCCTTCAATGCACGTCGAGTCGCTTGTTCGCGTACAAGCGCGGCCGCTTAGCACATAGCCTTCGCTACCACGGCCGCTCCAACGGTATTCGCGCGCCCTAATTGGTCAGTGTTTTCCGTTAATGTCTCCTCAACGAAGCCTCGGACAACATTTTCGCTAAGGAAAAAGTTGTTTCAAATCACCTCCCGAACCACCATTTTCAATGTGTTACAACATTTTTGGGACACCTTGTATACGTACCCTCTATGTCTATTGAAGAAATTTGACTAAATTAAATAATAGCTTAACAAATTAATTTTTCGTTATAAATATACAGTATGAATAACCTTACACATGTATATATTTATGTATACATTAACATATTTATGCAAACATACACTTGGAAACATCATACCTACCATTTAATTTTAACAAATTTCTTCAATAAACATAGAGAGTACGAATATTTATGAGACTGACTGTATATCTCTTCCCTTAGTTTGTTGATGTTATAAAACTGGGTTCTTTACTTCTTATGGAAATACCCTTTTCGTGGCAATGGACTCTTCAAGGATCAAAAATTTTGACGGGTATACAGGGTGGCCTACATAACTCATGACAGTTCAATATCTCGAATACTGTAACATTGATTTTAAAGTTCTTGGTTTTAAATTGCAAGGATCTAAAGGACCTTTTTAAATACATAAACGTGAAGTGGCCCCCCTCCCTTCTCTTTTAAGGAGGGCGGGACTACCTTTATAATTTTAAATGGAACTCCCTATAAAACGTTACGTATCTAGAGACGCGGTAGCGTCTTGGCGCCAAGTAGATGAAAAATTATCCGTCACCACGTATATATACCTGGCGTTGGTGCTACCATGTATCTTTTACAGGAGAGATGGTCCATTCCAACCTAACCTGAAACCTAAAAGCATATAAGTTTTCGAATAAAATCAAAATCAATCAAATCGGTCCACGATCAACTGAGATATAGTAATATCATGTCATGAATCTGTCAGAAACGGTATTTTTCGTATGATTTTCCCGTCGTCAACCCTTAGCCAATAGGCGCTAAGCAAAAGCCGAGTGTCGTTCGTCGACTCTCGGAATCATTCGGTTCGACATGGCTCGACGGCCATCGAGCGTCGAGAGTCGAAACAGATGTCATCATTCATAACCTGCCAAGTGTCAAAACCTTTTACACTATTGCATTATTAATTATATTTACATTAGCAAAATGTTTTCAATTTAGACTTTTTATGTAGGGTTTAATAACAAATTGCAGCCAATGTTGTAAAGTGTTAATCGATCTTGATTACAAGGCAAGTTGTAAAAATCTGAATTGCGAGATATCTTTATTCATACAGAAAACTGTTTTTAATATAGATCCATACCACCAAAGTATTTTGAATTTAAGCTTTTTATGTAGAGCTTGTGAAAATGGAGGGGGGCCACAGGATTGGAGATTAACAAATTGCTACCAGTAAAGTAAGATGTACATCAATTTTGATTACAAGGTAAGTTGTCAAAATCTGAATTGCGAGATACATTTATTCATACAGAAACCTGTTTTTAATATAGATCCATACCACCAAAGTGTTTTGAATTTAGACTTTTTATGTAGAGCTTATAGAAATGGAGTCATTTTCTCATTTCATCATTAACACTAAAATTTTTGGCAGCTAGAACAAAAATTGCAGGTATATACTATTATTTATAAATTGAACGAATAAGTGTTTTTAATTAATAAATTATATGAAATATATATATTCCGTTTTGTTATCCCCTCTCCCTTTATTTTACTCTATTCAATTAAAGAAACAAATAATAATTTAGACTTCTTATGTAGAGTTTACAGAAATATCAATTTTGTTTTTATAAATTTAAAATAGATTCTATATAATAAGTTATTTGTAAAAAGAAGTGAGATCCGATGAAAAACTTCAAAAAAGTAAAAACATTACGCCAAGTACATGAAAAAGTAGAGGACCCAAGGAGTTATTGAAAAATAGAAGATCCACATAAAAAACTGCAAGAAAATAGAAAAAGATTTAAAATCGAAATAAGCTGCCAGATGATTTGCCTAGATTTCCGCGGCCTAGAGTTCAAATGCTTGGCGTGGCCAGGCAAGGCATTCTTAGATCATCAATACCCATACTTTCTCTCTCACAGACTTTCAGATAATTTGTCAATTTAAAACTCTGACAATGTGAGTACACTTTTATTATTTTGCATTTCAAAATAATTCTTATTCATCGACACCTTGGCCTTGCCTGGCCACGCAAAGCATTTGACTTCCAGGCCGCGGAAATCTAGGCGAATCATCTGGCAGCTTTTTCCGATTTCACATCTTTTTCTATTTTCTTGTAGTTTTTTATGGGGATCTTCTATTTTTCAATAACTCCTTGGGTCCTCCACTTTTTCATGTACTTGGCGTAATTTTTTTACTTTTTTGAAGTTTTTTATCGGATATTTAGATTGTACAGTAAAAAGCAAGTAAATTTTGTCTTTTTTTTTTTTTTTTTGTCAGATGTTACTATAATGAGATGTAACTATTGAATTATATGTCCTTGAATCCTTTGCTTACTCCTGAAGAAATAAAAACAATAATGTGTAATTACATTCTTGAGTTTGACTCAATTATCCATAAGAAAGTTCTCAGTTTAGAGCTGTTATTCAAGCAGCATTATAGGATCCATTTCGCTTTACAATTTTTACAATACAGTGGTGATACATGTAACGTACAATTAATGAACAATATTTTTAAGTGGATAGAACAGTCGTTAAAAAAAGAAAAGATTCGGAGACAAACTTTGATGTTCGGCTCGGTTATAAATATATCAATGTTTAAGGGCAACTGAAAACCCATTTTATACAAGGATCTTAGTAGATCAACCCTAGGAGCTTCATACAATTCACATTGCCAAATGATGTGATTTAAATCCTCATCGCTTTGGCCACATCCACAACTACTGCTCGTTATTATGTTTATACGTTCCAATGAAGCTGCCAAGTGGTAATGATTAGTACGCATCCTACTAATTGCTGTAACAAAATTTCTCTTCAGTCTCTTCGAGTGTGAACCATGGCGTAGAACTATCGCAAAAAAATTTCTGGAATAAAATAATTTTTCGGAAAAAAATTTAACCGACTTTAAAAAAGGTACAGTGAAAAGTATGAAATAATTTCTAGGTAATTTATATGAATACGCACTAGCTCTAGATAAAAGTATGGGAAAATGCAGTGAAAAGTATGAAATAATTTCTAGTTGATTTATATGAATACACACTAGCTCTAGATATAATTGCTTAAAAGTATGGGAAAATGCAGTGAAAAGTGTGAAATAATTTCTATTTATACTGCATTATCATTCACCATCGTTTGATGAATTTGGTTAAATTATTAAATATATCATATTAAATGCAATGCACTTTTTTCAGTTTCCAGTTTCAATCTGATTGGTCCATCCGTCTCGGAGTAAGAAGGAAGACAACATTTTTCTGTTTAAAAAAAAAAACGGGTAAAAAATGATAAATCACAAAATGTTTCTTTTACGCGACCGACTGGAAGAAATATTCGACAAGATGCAAGAGGTTTCACTCCGATTCATTATGTCATCTCGACGTAATCGCCAAGCATACCTAAAAAATCACGGTTTTTTGGTAAAAAAAAAAACGGGTAAAAAATGACAAATCGCAACAAGTCTTAATCATTTAAAAGTGAGAGAGCTACGATAGGTCAGAATTTTGGATATAAAACAGTTACCCAAATATCTAACGCGATCCCTGATGAACGTTAGTTTAGATTCCGCAATTAATATGTTGGTTGGAGTAGATATACGATAGCCTAATGCAAGTCTAA